TAATTTAAACCACGTAAATTTTTCCACCTTTCTATTACGTTTAACAGAAAAGAGTTCAAGGTCTTGTGATCATGCACTGTTCGATTGTATGCAAAGTGTGTGCTCGCGCGTCCACGTTTCACTATAGTTTGCTCACTCGGTTCTCTCTGCCTGCTTAGGAAGGAATACGAAAATAGAAAGGAGACAAATTCGCCGGCGGTTAGGTGCAGTCAAGTCTCCGAAGAAGTATCGGATAAATATTTCAAAGTTAACGAATAATAACGTTCCTGATGACCTTAGAGACGTTGGTTTTAAAAAGACACGCCAACGAAATGATCCTCGAGCGCTTACATTCGTCTTCTTTGCACTCCTCTCTTTCTCTCCGTTTCTTCCCTTTTTTTCTGACTTTTTCATTTTTCTTTTTCTCGGTCGCGTTTCTTAACGTACACAACAAAAGGACCGGTGTTCTGTACAATAATAAGACCACTCGAGGGAACCAATCGCGACGTCGACGTCCGACATCTCTCGAAGGGAAAGACAGGTGCGAGGAACCAATATGTAACACCTTCCGAGAAAGAACGCTTCGTTGATTTCGCTTCCTCCTTATTCGCTTTTCACTTTGAATTCCTATTCTTTTTTTTTTTTTTTTAATTTATAACAGTAAGAATCGAAACAGAAAAGCTAACAATTTTGTACGTTTCATAGATAATAGGTAAACATGGAAAACGTAAATTATTGGATAAATACATATTCTCGTTGCCATTATATTACATGTATTAATCATTTGTCCAATCTATACACTATTGATATTACCGTAATTTGTTGTCTAAACGCGTCGTTCGCATTCCCATTTCTCTTCCTTCCGTCCAAGCACGTTTTCCGACGATACGATCATGTAATAATTATATGCGCATGTATAATCAACGCACGCGCGTACGCCATTGTAATCCTCTTCCTCGTTGAACATTTCTTTCTCCGTCTCTATCAATATTTCTCTCTCAAGAGGAAAAGGAAAACATTTATGATACTTTCGCGATCGTACACTACAAGGTCGTTAGAAATATTTCTATATACCTGTGGTTCTATCTCGAAAGATACTATTTTATTATGTGATTATTTGGTAAACAAGGAAGAATTCCATGAGCAACAAAAGTATACCATGCGGAAAACGAACAATTCTAATTTCCGTTGATAAACAAAGAATGAAAAAAAAAAAAAAAAAACATTTATGAAAAAAGATTTTCATTGCGACATACAATGGTTTCTTCAAGAACGAGTGCGATGAATGTAAGAGATGAAGGTAAAGTCAAACGTTGGTCCCGTGTTTTCGTCCAAAAATGTCTTCTCTTTCGATGTCTCTTTTTTTTCCTACCCTTTCGTTTCCTTTCTTCACTCTTACTTCTTCTTCATCTTCTTCATCATCTTCCTCCTCTTTCTGGGCATACTCTTTTTTCCCTCGCGCGCAATCTCTTTGACGCGCAGTCTCGTCTTTGATATTCCTGCCAGAAAATCCCACTTAACGCATAAGCGTCTGCTTTCTCCATACCACTCCCCCGATTCGTCTCATCATAGCTTCGCACTTTCGTCTTTCTACGTTTGTCCCTTTCTCTTTCTTTCTATTCTTTCTTTTCCTCATAGGCAGACGTATACGTTATGCACTTCTTCTCTTTCTCGGACATGCGCGCATCATACGTGAAAACGTGGCAACTCGTCATGACAGAAAGAAAGAGTGAGTGAAGGAGTGTGCGAATGAACAAACGAGAGAAAGAGAGAGACTAAGTGGGAGAGAAGTAAAGAGGAGCAGCACTCGCCTTTCGTTACTCCGAGCTCGTTTAATTTAACGAAAGGAAGGTTGAAAGGAGGATCGATGATTAAAGGGCCGGTATGCGAACATGGAGAGCGCTAAATCGTTTGTCCGTCCGCTCTTCGTTTAAATCGAATTTTCTCTATCTAATAACATTTGCGCGCTTCTTTTTAATCGACGCTCATTGTCGTTGGTGAAGTCAAACTCGAGATCGAAAATCGACGATGACGAGGTAGACAACGAGGAAAGAGCAAGAGAGAGAAGAAAGAGAGAGAGAGAGAGAGAGAGGATAATATTACTCTCTCGACGCGATACTCGACGGATAGGAATTCTCGTTGGACTCGCGACGATGGGATCCGCCGATCGGTGCACGCCCACTTTTTCGAGATTCCAATTAGGCCGACCCTTCCGTAGGTTTTATTCGGTAGTTAATTGGTATCCAGGGGACAGCGGTGGGTGATGGCGATCGGTAGTGGGGATCAAGCTGTATATTTATTGGTTCCTAGATAACGGATTCGAAGGAAGTGTCGCGAACAAATTACAACTGGCCGCTGTTTTTTTTCCTTTCCTTGCTCTCGATCTTTTTTAAAAAAAAAAAATCTTTACTTTCGAGTATTCACAAAGAGGCATTCGTAATTAAAGTCAAACGATATGGATTTTACTCCTATTCGTAGAGAGAAGAAAGAAGAAGAAAAACAAGTTGAAGAAAAAGAAGAAGAAGAAGAAAGGAAAACAGCGGATTCGATACAAAGAGGTTTTTAAATATTAAGTACTATAATAAAAGAGGCGGGTCGATAGCCATAAAACCACCTTACGCTGAACTATTATTATAACGTTCTAGCCGGATCCACTGAGATCCATAGAAACTTGTCTACAGTCTGGGAAGTTGAGAACATATCCCTGCACGCGCGTTAGAGTTTAAGAAGGGGTCACTAGGAGGCTCCATACATATTCATGCCGAGTATTTACCTAAGGCCAGAAAAGAACTGTTAAGAACGAAGGCAACGTATTGCATTAATACAAGGGTCCTCGAGAAACCTACGAATACATAGGTATATGCAAATGACACCATTCTTGCTTAAAGAAGAAGAAGAAGAAAAAGAATAAGAAGCCTTTCTCCCTTTCTCTTTTTCTTTTAAATCACACATCGAGACTACCGAAGCAAAATGCATCAACTTAACGAGCACACCGAGATAATACCGAAAAGAGTCCGCCTTTGCTTTACCATGGGAAATGATAAACGCCGTAAAAAGTATACGAAGATAAACGAATACGTTCGTGCTTGGAATCCGGAAAGCCGTGGGGAGAAAAACGATCAAAGTCTCGCCGTTCGCGTCGTTGGAGAAATTGGTGAATGGCCAGGTTGCGAGTGCACGCCCACGCACGCTCGCACATTGGTAAAGCGTTAACGGCGAATGTTCTCTCTCTCTCTCTCTCTCTCTCTCTCTCTCTCTCTCTCTCTCTCTCTCTCTCTTTCTTTCTTTTTCTCGTACGCGCGATTCGTCGAGGTCGTCGTTTGCCGAGCTGCGTTTAGGGTCGACGTATAGTATCGACATGGGGGCAGCAGGAGAGAGAACGGATATTATCGCCAAACGTTAATTTCGCCGAGGCCCGGCCTACCTTCCAATTTTCAAGCCCTTACACGCCCACTTACGAGATTGTCCGTTAATGCTCCGAAACGTCCAGACGCGCATATTCGACGCCCGCGTTTCGCTGCCGCATCTTGTTGCACCAACGACCGTATATGTCGTCATCTATACATACGTACTTATATATATATATATATATATATATATATATATACCTATGTAAGTACCTACGTTCTTCATTAATGGTACGTCGAACCCTTCGATCGATCGAACCCACCGATCGACTTTTCCCACAGTCTCGTAAATTCTTATTTGCTCAAGAGATCAAAGAAATTTGTCTTTTATTTACTTCCATCTAGACGATTCTTTTTGATTTTTCTTAGGCTAGAAATACAATCGAGCACGCTTCAATGTGTTAGCAACGTATGTATAAATGTATTTTCAACGAAAAAGGAAAAAATGAAGAAGAGTTTGAAGCTTTAGAGAAAATCTAAAGAAATTCTCTCGATACGTAGGGAGAAATAGGGCGGCGCAAAGGGCGCAGAGGACGTTACCGTACAGTCTCGTGTATATCGTATAGCCACACGAAGAAACGAGCGTTAACGTGCGCGAGCGTCGTTGGAAAGAACCGGTTGTATAGGAACCGTCTTCCACCTTCTTCTCTTCTCTTCTTTTCTCTCCTCTTCTCTTTTCTTCTCTCCTCTTCTCTCCTCTTCTCTTCTCTTCTTTTCTCTTCTCTTCTTTTCCTTCTCCTCTTCTCTCTTCTCCTTTTGCTCATCTACCGACCTTTTCGTTCCATCCTCACCGACGCTCGGACTAGCTCCCATATAGAAGGTGTTCGACCGTCTTCCACCTTTGTCGTATTCTTCGATTCAAAAAAATATCCAACAAAGATTTTCTTTGCACAAATACATAATGCCTTTGAAGCTTCTTTAATCCACATTGTATCTAACTAACATAAGTAAAATGCAAAATTTGATAAAAGACGACAAAAAATTATTTTCTTTTTATTTCATGATTATTCAATCAAATTAAGTTACATAGAAATAACAATAGGAAAAATAATATCTCTAAATCTCTACTCCAAAAATATGAAATTCTCAGAGAATATTATCACGACCGTGTGATAATTCATCGATAAGATAAAAAAGAAAGAGGAAAAAAAAAACATAGGTATTTCTCCGACTAAACGGCAGTGAAATGGCTTACTCCAAAAATAAACACACCCGTAGGAGAAAAAAAGAAAAAGAAGAGGAGAACGTCGTACCGGATGGTAGAAACACCCAGTATAATAGACTCCCTCGTGTTCGTACGTGCGCAATGTTAAAGACGCGTGTGCGAGTAGAAGTTCCTACTTGCGCTTACGCGATGGTTCCAACACTATAAGCGCCTGCCTATCAGACGTTAGGTGCCTACGAGAACGAGTCGACTTCTTTTCTTTGATTTTTTTTTTTCTCTCCTTTCAGAGCGTTTCCGTAGAAATGCTCGACTACCGAAAGAAGTTACATTATCTTAAACTCTAACAAGAAACCTTTCTGAGATGCTGATAATTCGCCAATCTTTTATTACTTTTTTCTCTTCCGTTAATAATATGTTTTTAATAATTCTATTCATTTTCTCTGTTACAGATTTCGAATAGACAACACGGATCATATAATAGACGTGAACAAGAATAACGCGGTGTTTGAGTACGATCAAGTGAACATAATTTGTCCAATGTATAAAACGGGCACATATGATCCGGAAAAATACCTCATTTACAACGTAAGTATATTCTTCTAACTTAGAAACGTTTCATTTTAAACAGATTACGAGATTTCCCAGCATATCGTTTCTATGTCGTCAAGATTTGTTTAAAGAATTTACTTAAACCGTGATAAAAAGAAAGAGAGGAGTGGGAGGGAGAAGGGAGCACCCATGGGGTGTACCGATGATGGACAAGCTTTACGACGAAAAAATAGTTGAGTCTGGTTTCTGTAATGTTTAGACAGCTGCTACTACTCAAGACCAGTTCTTTGACTACCCGCTTTTCTTTCTCTCTCTCTCTCTCTTTCTCTCTCTTTTTTCCTTTCCCTTTCCCCCTCTCACCAAAAGTGACTTCGTGCGCGAACTTCCAATGGAAAAGAAACGAAGATGTTGCCGTTAACGATTCGTGCAAAGCTTAAAGAGTTCCTCTTTCGGACATTTACATTGTCTCGAGTCGTTCAGTAATCGACATGCCAGTCAGCAAAAGGCAGTATAGCTTTTGCGACAACGAAGACGTCGCGACGAATTCTCTCCTTTCTCCCTTCCACCCCTTTAGAAAACTTATCAAAGATTCAGTCGTCGTAGTCGTCCAGATACCGTAGACGTTTCTGCATCGTTCACGTATTTTCACGAACTCATCGGACCCCGATCTAATCGCAGATCGTGAACTCCCTCGTAGTAGCGTCCACTCTCTATTGTCTCGATAGCCGTTCTCTCTATACAACGATTAGGATCGACACAATAGATCTTTTTCCTCTTCATCTCTTTCTTTTTGAATTTTTTTCTTTCTATCACGAAAAAGACGTGGCAAAAAGACCCGAGAAAAGGTTCGAAGGACGGACAAAATTCCATTCGTACCTCCCTTGCCCCTGATACACGCTTCCCCCGGTCGATGAAACTTCTTTCACAGTAGTCAATCAACGATTAATGTCGTGCTTGAGCAAAGATCAGTATAGAGAGAAAGAGAAAGAAAATAAAAATAAGAATAAGAAGAAAAGGGTTGTGCTTTTTCCACATAGTCTGTGTATTACCCATCGTAACTAAAACGAGAATTTTCAGGTCGACGATGTGGGCGTGACCGTTAATCTTTTTTTCTCGTCGTTGCAGGTGTCTAAAGAAGAGTACGAGACGTGCCGAATAACGAACCCGAGTCCTCGGTTAATAGCAATTTGCGACAAACCATACGAGGATAAGTACTACACGATCACCTTCAGGCCGTTCACGCCACAACCGGGGGGTCTCGAGTTTCTACCCGGCCACGATTACTACTTCATCAGCACCTCGTCCAAGGAAGATCTGCATAGGCGCATTGGTGGACGATGCAACACCGACAACATGAAGGTTGTTTTCAAGGTTTGCTGCAGCAACGACACCTCGTCCTCGTCTGCCACGTCTCGCAACAACTGTGAGTATAGTATAATCTTAAAAAAAAAAAAAATAAGAAAAAAACAAATATCCTATTTACTTTCTATTAGAAAATTTTCTATTCCAAACCTACTTTAATTCCTTAATTATTAAATTATAAACGTGATACACAAATTGCAGATATTTTTTGATATCAAAAATCGGTAGCTTTCAATTTAATTCTCAAAATGTTTTTCGCACTCAACGCGTTATACTCGCATCGTTCGTTCACGCATATCCCTTGTCGAGCCAAAGAAGAAGAATGAAGAAAAAAAAAAAGGAAAAGGAAGGACCGCGCCATAAATTCATTATCCCTTAATCAGTTAGAAGAGGAACGACTTCCATAACAGGCAGTCCACTCGCCGCTACTCGTTCGTGTCCTCCTTGGTAGTCTCATTCTTTCATATCTTCCCTTCCCTCCTTCCTTCTTTCCCTCATCCACCATCCTACTATTTTCCCCCCTCTTTGCTTCTCAAGCGGCCTTTCTCCGGCTCTTAAATAATCCCTATCAATTATAATTCTTAGCGCGCACCATTTGTTGCGGTTAGACCACTGTCCCAGAGCACGATAAATTCCACCATTTCATTCCACCGAGCGAACACTCGTCTCCACCTAATTCGTTCCGAGCATCCTTCTCTCGAACGAGCTGGCGAGTGCACGCCGAGAATGATTCGTACAACGTAATGAGCTATCTGGCTATCTCTCGGAGCGATAAACTCGTTCAAACTCATCTACGAGAGACTCGAGATTCTACTTCTCTGCATACTCTTTCCAACCTAATCTCTATTATCTTATTTTCTATACACGCTATCTTTTCTTTTATCTTGTAATTATTGTATCAAACATATATGTTGAAAAAAATATTAATATAAGATCTAAAAGAAAACAATATATTACATTAAAATAATAAAAATCATCTGTCTCGCTTTAGCCGTACCCGTGACCAGCAGCACCGTACCCAGCAGCAGCTCAACGAGTACCGCAGTTTTGGGCGGAGGAGCAAGTGGTATGATGCCACCACCACCGCCACCAAGCGTCCTCAAAGGTGGAGAACGATTCTACCCGGGAGGCAACATTCATCATCATCGCGATCATCTTCAACCGGCTACGGTGATGCCGACCCACGTTCCCCCTTCAGCGTTGTACCCTGTACATCCGCATCAGCCACAGCCTCCGATTCACAATGGACCTCCGTCTGTCTCCTCGCCGCCAAAGACCTCGATTGGACAGAAGAAAAAGAACAGTGCGTATATAACTTTTCTATACATATATATTATATCTCTACGTGTAGATACGTATGTATTCGAGTATTCTACTTATATTTCATTCCAAATCGTTGAATTTCTTTTCTTTGCTTTTTGTTTTTGTATTTTTTTTTGTTTTGTTTTGTATGAGTGAGTAAAAAACGTGAAACGTTTCCTGAAAAATGTGACAAAGTCCATCTCGTTCTTGTCTCGCGTCCTACACCAGATGGAAAACCAATAAAAGTACTAAGAGGTGCGACGACTTCGTAAATTTCTCGAAAGCCATATGTCGGTTTTGCCATTCCTACATATCTTTAATCTTTTTTCTTGTTCTTTTTTTTTGTCTTTGGGGAAGGGGGAAGGGGGAGGGGGGGGGTCTTTCGTTCTTCTTGTCCTTCACATCGACGCCTACGATAATTCGAGTCGTACACAACAGACGCAGGTATTTGCATTTGAGCGATAAGGGACGTGCGCGAATGGCTATTAACGAGCCGTATTTCCGTCTGACTCGTTTGCTAAGAACTTCTTTTTTATTCTCATAGCAATGATTTGTTAGAAAACTTTCTCACGATTTTGTATTTATTGAAATTTTTCAGAGGAATACTCAGATCATCCTAATGAGGTAGTGAAGAACGAAGAACTAACGTACAGCGGTGCGACGTCGTATGGGTTCGGGCAGGTCCTGTTCCTGATGGTCTCCAGCCTTCTGATAAGTGTTTTCGTTCCGCAATTTTTGCGGTGAAGCGACGACACTGCCAACGAAGAGCGTATCCCATGCGTCGAACCCCTTCTTCTGTGATTATCCTACGTTTAATTAATTTCCTGAGGCACGCAGCGCCGCTGTCATGCGTTGTGGCCCCTCGATCGTGGGACGCGCGCAGATCAACCATTGCTCGTCGGTTGCGAGCAAATCTGAGATCGGAATGCTGAGATGGAAGAAAAAGATATATTATACATATATATATATATATATCTATTAAATAAAGCCGGTAAGAAGGTAGAAATATATATGCGGATGGACCTAGGAAGATTACTATGTCCGAATAAGAGACTCGCGGCAAAGCCATATTAACTACTAATAAAAAGGAAAGACAAACGGGATGGCGTATTGATGTCAAGATAGTCGAACAAGATAACAACGACGACAAAAAAAGAGAAGAAGAAGAAGAAGAAGAAGAAGAAGAAGAAGAAGAAGAAGAAGAAGAAGAAAAATAAGGTGAAGAAAAAATGCTGAAAAATATGAAGAAGATGAACGAGGAGAAACGCTGCTACTAGATACTATTATAGTACGCCCACTATTATCACTACTATAAATGGTAGTCGTATTGGTTGTCCTTCTTATCGTTACGCTAATTCTAGGTATTTATTCGAAAAATACAAGAGAGCATGGAAAAAGAGCGAGTGTATGATAGTAAATGCGAACGAACGCGTGAGAAAAATATGTGTGCGAGTAAAAAGCGTGTTTAAGTATCTTCGAAGCGAATAACGTTTTAACACGCGTACGGAGAGGGTCGAATCTATCCTGAACTAACGAACAAATCATCGTTAAACCAACGGAAGACAAAGCTCGAACGATTTAACTCGACACAAATAATGATATTATCTAACCATCGTCGAAAAACTAATGTTCATTTTAACTGATAATCGTTCTAGTTCATCTTTCCGTTTGAATTTTCGTAAGCGCGTAATCGTGCATTCGTCTAACCAGGATAATTAGCACGCCTGTAAATAAATTCCTAATGAATATGTACAAGTGAATCCTTGAGAGCTTATTCAAGCTGCAAGGAGATTTAGGAGAGTGCCGTATACTAGACGAATCTTATATATGACGCTCGAGTGAGCGAGAAAGAGATAAAGAGAAACACGTAACCATTTACGAGGACACGAAGCATATATTTGTGAAATAAATACGATTAAAACGTGAAAACGATCTATCGTTAATGTTAACAACTTTGCAAATTTAAGGGACAGTCCAACGAACTCATCTTGATCCTACGCGTCGATTTTAATCTGACGAATCGACGATTATCAACTATCTCTTCTCGTCTCGATCGTAGCAAAAAAGTATATATTATCCGTGTATGTAAGAGAGAGAGAGAGAGAGAGAGAGAGAGTGCATGTGTGCGTGTTCAAGAGCCGATAAGAAAATTCTCTGTGAATGCGTGATGATAGTGAGAATGTGAAAATTTGTATAATACCTGTACCATACCGAACTCTATCTATAGATCTGTATTATATTTATTATCCGCTATTATTACACTACGAATATTCAATCGATATTCTATATTTACTAGTAAAATATCAAATTTAATAGCGAATAAATTGCGTATCGACGTGGTGGGAGACAAAGGAAAACAGAGAAAAAAAGACAGAAAAAGAAGGCTTATGAGAAAGGTAAACAACGAAGAAGAAGAAGAAGAAGAAGAAGAAGAGAAAAAGACTCGAGGCCTCTTATTCTCTAAATACGGCTAAACTCTCATCGCATTTGTTGATTTTTTCCATTATCCGTTATTATATCGGGTTTATAAATATTAACTCATTATATCTCTGATTGCGAATGAAAAACGATTGGCCGTTCGATCGTCTTCTTTCCTATTTTTTTCTTTGTATCTTGCATCATACTTTGATCTATTTCTGTTATTTTTCTAATTCTATTTATTGTCCGTCGTTTAATCGTATCATGCCACGTTGTTACACGTATATACATTCGTCATATACATGACACGCGACACAGACATACGTAAAACACACATTTACACACTTGATTAAGCGTCAATTTTCGCGAAGACAATTCGCGATAATTCGATAATGCAAGAGAATAAGTGCGAACGTTTGTTCCGTTACGCATTGGCCATTGAAAGATAATTAGATCTAATGAATAATTATTGTAAATATGTGTATGCGATAATGATGATAAGATGATACTACTGACACTGAAGAGAAGAGAGATTTTGTGAAATATATGAAAAAGAGCAAGAGAGAGAGAGAGAGAGAGGGAGAGAACGAGTGAGAGAAAGAGATACTCTTTTTATTCCGAATCGTAGATAAAAAAAAAATGATAGAGGATCCTTAAAATGCATAGGCTGCTCGATCGACCAATCGTTTTCGTCTTTCGTCAAACGAATCGTCGTCCTTCCTGCACCGACCTTGATATGAACGAAAACAAAAATAAATATAAGATCGGCCGAAAACGAAAGCAAAAGCGAAATAAGAAAAATACTAAAAAAAAACGCGTGTTTAATATTATCCACTACAGTATTGTTAAGCCTAAGTATTACATGCCTATGATCCACGTCTGTTTGTCTGTCTGTCTGATCGCGTGTCTGTTTATCGTTTGTATACTTTTTCCTCATACGTTATTAATCGCAATAGCATATCACAATGAATATTACAATGATGAAGTTTTACGTACAGCAAGAGGAGACGTTTTTTTTTCTATTTTTTCTTTTTTTCTTATACTATCGATTGCATAAAAATTCGTTAAAAGTTAAGTTTATCACACCATTTATTTTCTATTTGAATTAAAAAATCACTGTGAAGTTTTTGTTTGAACTGAAAGTAAGTGGTGGTATGTTTTTGCAACGACTAACAATAAATCAAGGGCCGCAACCAAGAACCTTAAAGACAATCACTCACACATTGTAAATTATCCGAAGCTTTCTCTCAAAGTAGATTGATCGTAAATGTCAGAATCCTGTAGGTAATCAATTTACGTCCGAAATAGAAGAACTTCACGCAGATGTATGTAAATACAAAACGTTCTTATATACATACGTTTGGTTCACGGTCCCGTGTCGTTCAAAAATGTACAAAACGCTACTATTGCATTTTCACGTTCTGTATTATTTTATACTTTTTTCTTTCTTTTATTCGTTGTATAAACTACGAATCGCGTGAAAGAAGCATCATTAAAAGCGTCCCTCTTTACTAGTTTCGTAAACGAACTCATCGTATCCACAATTGATAACATATTCACACTTCAGCGCCAATAAAGCGATACAGCAAAATGTTCATAGATCCACGTGAATGGTATTCGTTCATACGGACGATAGGTGAATACAGTATAACAATAATATAGAAACGAGCTATCGATAGAAAATAGACAAGGTCACTCACTGCAGTTTATTTTATTTTTTCTTTCCTTATTTTATTTTTCACATCCATTCCACGCAAATCGAATCCTATCCAATTTTCTTTTTCTACTTTTACCATAGTTCCGTTCGCGATGTGACAGTGTTCCACTGCACGAAGATATTCATACTTTTGGAAGACACGTAAAATATTTGAAGAGCGTTAAATATTTGCTAACAAATTTCTATCTATACGTATAATATAAGTATATGTATACATAATAATGTATGCACTTACTATACAATACCTGTCTATTTCAGCGCGAAACTATCTGTCTCGTCATCTTGTTCAACGTTACTGTCCCCCCGATTAAGTGGAACGCGTCCTGCCGATCGTTTTAATTTTCTTTTCTTTTTTTGCATTTTTACTTTTTATTTTTTGTTCAATTTTCTTTCACCAAGCTACGTATATGTATTACATTTTTCTTCAAGATCCCTTTTTCCATCGTCTTTTAATCCTCGCTTGTACGCGCGTGCAAGAACCAGTGTTAACAAAACGTTGGAATCCTTCGAACCGCGACCGAGGGACACACGTGTTATATTCTCACCTATATAAAATATATCAAATTTATACGCGCGAAGGATTCATCCTTCTCATTTATCAAGACCGGGGTTAACCATTTATTGCCTGCGTCTTATACACTGCCAGCAGTTTGATTAAACTGTAAAGGTCGAAAGAGAAGACAACAGGGAGAAAGAAGGAAACAAAAGAAATCTAGAAAGAGAGACAGAGACAGAATAATTTCCGTTTAAAGTAGAAAAAGGAAAAAAAGAGAAAGAGAGAGAGAGAGAGAGAAAGAGAACGAGAGAAATAGAGTGAAAGTGAAAAAGAGAGAGAAAAAGAGATCTTTGTAAATAAGACGATCGATAAACGATTAACACGATGAAATTTATATTAAATGCATAGCAAGTACGAGATAGGTTTCTAATAACGATTTATTATAAAAGTGAATGTACGTTGATGTCTAAGATTTTTAACATGAAAACACACAAAGTGGTTATAATTAACTATGATTATTACTCATAGAAGGAGAACACAAGTACTAATTAAACGAGAAAGTTGGTTTTAAATACCGGAGCCACAGTTAGACAGATCGTGATTCTCTCACGGCGCATATATTATTTTATATTCGGTACATACATTGACACACACACATACGCTCACCGTAAATGCGCTAATCGTACACGGCATCTTAAATGAACAAATTAGATTATCGTCAGATAAATAAAACTGATCGTGGAATATCTGCATGGATAAACGAAAGAAAAATGTCGATCTCTTGCCGATTTTTCAAATGATTTATCTATGGTAGCATAAACATCGGAGATGATCAAATGCCGTGTACGTTTGTCGCTAATTTGGGTCTGTTAGATTGCGTGTGCACATTCAGTACAGTACGTCGTTCATTAAACAAAGCATACAATACAATACAAAGTAGCGTAGCGTTCATAATGGTAGTCCACTGTAGCGAAATAGTGTTTAAACAAAGCAAACCAAAAAAAAAACTGGAAAAAAGACATAATCAACAAAAAAAATTACAGGTAACCGTACGTAATAAAATCATAAAACGATCTTCATAAAGGATACACGCATACTTACTCATATACATTGATACGTGTATACACGAACACACATACACACTAACTCACACATTTAGAAAGCACAAGAGAAGCAAACGAGACACACACGTATATACACACACGAACAACAACTCAAAGTGAAGAAAAATCGTCGCGTTCACGCGGTAGAAAGCGAGATTCCATGCGCGCACGTGTGAGTGAGAAAGAAAGGTAGAGTGTGAAAGAAGAAGAATGCGAGAGCGGGAGAGAGAGAGAGGAAAAGGTAGAAAGAGATGGAATGAAAGAAGACACAACGAAAAGATGCGAGTGAGGTGCGATTGGCGCGTACGGTGCGTACTACCAAGAGTAGGTACACGTAAAATGGAAGATAACGATGCGCGAGCGTAGAAACGTTGGCCTCACCATAAGTTATGTAGGTATATTGTATATGTATGTCGATATCATCGAGTATATCGATGTGAAAAAAGTTTTAAAAAAGAAAGTAAAACGCGTGAAAAAGACAACTGACGAAAGAGAGAAATGGTCTCCTTTTGCTCACTACACACATAAATACATACACACCGATGCAATGGCATGCTCGCCTCGGTGTAGGTTTTGTTTGAAAGTACCTTGCGCGAATCGTCTCTGTAGTACAAAAGAATACTCGATGTACGAGATACATACGATCGTTCCACTTGAACCGTATATTTTTCAATCCCAGGTAAACCATGGCACATCGGTCGAATAATTTATTCTATTTTATTTATATTTGTTTTTGTTTTTTTTTTTCCTATAGTAACGAAAAAAGCATCCTCCTTCAAGTACCGTGAAAAATTTGCAGAATTTATGTTAAAATGGAATAAAATATCTCAAAAAAAAAGTTTAATCTTTTGTCACTCAGCTGATCGAATATGCCTTGGTCGAAGATTTATTTGAATTTCATTTAAAAACAAACTTGCTCGTGTACTCGCCGTAGACATATCTCTTACGTTTTAATTCCTATTTTATAAAAATTAATCTAAAAAAAATAAAACGTGAAAGTTTTAAAATGTTAGGCAGAAATAAATAGATAGATAGATAGAGAGGAATGAAAAAAATCATGAATAAAAAAGAAGAAGGAAAAAAGTTAAAATGAATTCAGATTCCGTTGTATTTTGAATTTTTTTTTTTTTTGCAATAGTTTGAAAGCTTTATTAAAATACATCCACATCGTCTCATTTCGCTTTCCACGAAACATTCCACAAAAATGATAAAAGACATCATGTGTATAGAGAAAAACACTTGACTACTTGCAGAAGGTAAATAATAAATATTCGAATTGTTATCGCGAGCAAAAATGATTTAAATTGTTCGATGAACGTTCGAACGATGCTCAACTGAAATTGATTTTGTTTTATAAATTCATGAATGATCTTGAAAATTGAATGATCTTCGGACATTGGTGATTAAAGTGTGGCCTAAAATATCAATAACCTCATAATTAAAATATTTGAGACAACGAATTTGTTTGAGTGAAATTATGAAGGTTTATTTATTTACAAAAATATTCTCATTCTCATTTATATTTTTTTTTAGCACGATAGCGATTTATGTATAAAAGAAAAATGGTTGTGATGTGATTTCGTTGATTTAGGACACGCACCAGAATGAAATTTATACAATTTTTTTCCTAGATTAAATATCGCATCGTTCGAAGATCAGATTTCTAATATCTCACGAAATTTCGCAAAAATTTATTCGAATTGGGCCTACATTAAAATAAGAATCGAGGTTCGAAAAAAACGGATAGTGTATTTGCCAGAGGTACTTTACGTCAATTATTTCGTGTAACGCTTCATTGTACGTGTGATCGATGATATTTCACCGTTTTGTCGTAAAGATAAATATGACTTATGATAGCATGAATGTCAATGTTTTCGAGTCTAGCACGGTACAAAAAAGCTCACGTCATGGAATACCGCTAAACGTTGTATAGCGACAGTTATAACTTGCACAAGGTCACCCAAAACGTGTAATATATTTGGATGTATATTTAGCCGAAAAACACTTGTTTATGTCGAAAAAAATGCAAAGAGCATCTAATGTGTGCATGATAAAAAAAAAAAATAATCATTCTCTCCGCTATACATAATTACGATTGTTTCGTTCTTAGAAACCAGCAAAAACTTTCTTTGCGTCCGAATTTTATGACGAGATTAACAAAAAGTATCGATAAGATAAGGGATTTCGTGAATAAAAAACGAAATGTTAAGATAATTTATCGTTAGTTCCTAGATTAAGAAGAGTCCTATTACTTCGATGAGAATTGGCGGGTTATCGAAAAAGGGGATAAAAAGATTCATTTGTGAAAAGAAGATATATTGAAAGAGGGGAGGGGGAAAAGACTTTAAGAACGATGCCTAGTCAAATCAAACGAATTTATATCCTATGAAGCTGCGGAACAAAAGACTTGAAAAAAGTAGTTTAAAAAAACGAGGCTGCGCCTTGAAATGATGTACTTGATGCGGATTTCAATTGAGATGACGTTCGGTCGATTTATTCTGAAAGTAGATCCAGCGGAGAGAAGCGAAAAAATGATTAATTGTGCGTAATGCAGGGAACGATATCGCTTGATGATTTCCAAAACGCACTAAAAAGCACACTCATGGTCTAGAAATAAATATTTAAAAAAGAAAAAAGAAAAAAAAATGAAAGCGGAGAATGGCATGAAGAAAAACCACGTGGGTAGGCCCATATGTCGCACTTGTTTGAAAAAAAAAAAATAAAAATAAAGAAAAAAAAAGTAACTTATTACAAGAATGCACAAGTAGTAGTGTACACGCGCATGTACTGTTTGTTACCACAAATAAATATGCGAATTTAAAATCAAGTTTGATTTATGTGTACACGGTGAGGGCCGAGCTTCGTACGTGAAGAAACGCAGGTGCTCGAGCGAGAATGATTCGATGATAATCCTTTTTCGACAAAGAATGATCGAATTTCAATGCGTTCCATTTGCACGTCGCAAACAGGGATAATACGATGACAATTCTCCTGAGTACACGCGTTTTCTTACGGCGATATTGTTATTATATGAACGAACTCAAGACGGCATGGTATACAAGGCTAAGAACAAGACCTAAAATGGGGATATAATATTTTATAACTCAACTTTTGTACAGAATAAATAAATACTTGTACTGTGGACCAATATTTCTTTCATTTCATTCTCATTTATAGCCATACACGGCGCTAGATTATTTCGACTTTACAGTCATCGTCATGGATGACCATTTTGAAAAAGAAACATTCTAAAGAAAATTATTTCGTAAATAAATATTAATATCAAATCATTCCGTTCTAAACGACTGATATGTACGCCCTCGAAGAATTCAACGCTCAAATATGAAAACTATTTAATATATGTAGTAAATTTTTTATAAATTCTACATATTCTAAGTCGGTTATTTTGTCTGGATAAATAAAAAGAAAACTATCTTACCAACGGTTGGTAACTTATCAGCCATTAACTATGATCGATGAGAAAAAATATATTCACGATACTCTTATGCAAATTCATAAAAATTCTTATCACTTTTAAATGATATGATTTAATGGTATAAATACCGATACTTATTATTTTATTTTCCTCATAAATAAAAAAATATCATGTGGGCAGATCACACGTGTTAGAAGTGAAACCTTCGAAAAACTAAGTTTCGAGAGACAGAGACGACTGCAGAATATCAGGAGTAGGATAATTGTTGGGTTTATTTGTTATAATATTATTATTATATTATTGTTAACACATTCAAAAATTATTATACGTTTTATTGAAAACATATATAAATAGATAACATATTACACGGCAAGCAAGTTCTCAATTAAAAGAAATGAGACGAGTTGCTTCTGGTAACTAAAAAATGCATGGTAACTAAACACCTCTGTTAGTGTAGTAAACACCTCTATAGTAAGGTTTTTTCCGAAAAGAAGTGAGGTTTTTTTTTGAAAAGTAGTGAGGTTTTTTCCGATAAGTCCGTAGGGTCTCGTCTGATAAGTCCGTAGGGTCTCGTCTGATAAGTTCTTAGGGTCTCGTTCGATAAGTTCGTAGGGTCTCGTCCGATAAGTCCGTAGAGTATTTCCGATAAGTCCGTAGGGTATTTCCGATAAGTCTCTAGGGTGTGTTTAATTAGGCCTCGTAGAAGAGTCTCGTAAACAAGCCTCGTTAAAAAGCCTTGTAATCGAGTTTCTTGTAAATACAAGACAAACTTTTCTATTTTATTGAAAAATTAGTATAAATTTYCTAAWKRHGCAAACATTATAATTAAAAAACATGTCTTTGGATATTTATAAAAAAAGTATTCTACAATGTTGTCTAATTCTTTTTCTCTCATGTATCTTATAATCAATTTTTTTTTTTTTTGTAAAATTTTGCAGACAATACAATTATTTTAATCTATATATTTCATAATCATTAATAAGAATAATATTTACGAAATAAATAATTTAATAATAATGTTTCAATAAAATAGAAACATTTTTAAATAGAAAAGAAATGACACGTTTGGTAAAAAAAAAACATACCACGCGCCTTCTTTGTTTATGTCGACCGTCGGTTCGTTTGGACCTTATACTTTTGCCGAATACCTCAGTGCTGTCAGATCGTGGGTAAATCTTACCCTCTCCCTGTGCCACTGGGATTGCACACAATGAAAGTTTTCCATGTCCGTGTGTTTGGGATGTC